AGTAATATCAAGAAATAATGCTGTCGGTGAAATAATCGTTGATTTAAAGGTAACTCACTGTTGAGTAGCTACCAGATGCTGATACTCACGAACGTATCTGAAAAGGCAGCTTCTTTTCTCCTAATGTGTAGAGGTTAGAAAATTGCATCCGGTCCTGAACAGGTTCTATTCACACATCATTCACATGCAGTTGTTTATATATCTTGACAGTTCTGGCTAAATAAGTATAGACTATGACCCACATAGTCTATGGTACAACTACTATGTATTATTAATCTCACATTCATTTTAGAGTCAAATATATCACTGGTTGGTGTATTCATATGCATAATTTAACTTACCTGTCCATATGACGGAGTGTTCGAATAATAGAGATGCGGATAATCGAGGTTCTAGTGTACCATGCCAACATTTGACATTAAGTATCTAGTAGTAGCACTGTTCTAGACTTGTGGACGGTGCATAGTGGGTTACGGCGCTGCTGGACTGCGCCGCAGTTAGACCATGGCGCTAGTAGTCGAGCCCCAGTACTCAGCGGCGCCGTCAAACGACGTAAGTTCACGGTGGAAACGGTACAACACCCGAGATGATATCGCGAAAAACTCGTGCCTCGAACGGTCTGATATTATAGGTAATAGGTGTATGCATATTCCGCGGCAACGACGTTAGACGACACGTCGTATGAAAGTATTCTTCGGTACCCTCGAACTCGTTAATTTGTTCGCGAAACGCTGTCTGAATAATAAAGCGATGGGCTTTAGGAACGGGGGATCGATAATCGTGACGGGTGGCGATGAAAATTAATTGAAAGCGGTGAAAGGGATTTAAATAATTTCCCACGTCGCGCGTGCCTGTCTCCCGCGTCCGTTCATCTCGTTGTCTCTGCTGTAGACTCTGTTTCAGGACCAATTGTTATTATTATATATAAAATTTCGTTGGCTCCTATTTTATTTTTTATCCATTTGTTTATTTGTTGATGGATTAAATTGTAGCGTTTAGGAGATATATAACGGTGTCCAGGTATTTTATATTACAATTGAAAATTGGAAATAAGATGCTAGTTGCAAATTGAAAGGTCGGATAAATGCTAGTTAGGCTACTTGTACTATCTGACTTCATCTTTGGTGTTGGTAACAATTGATTTTTGATCATTTGGTATGAATTGTGAATGAATTGGAGTCTGCAACGATGAGTAAATAAGAGAGTGGTACAAGTGTGTAAGGATAGAAGCATATGATTCGGTGAAAAAGTAAACGCCAAACCAAAGACAATTTCCTCTAATGATATGTTGATATTTTAATTAAAAGCTTATTACAAACTTCCCTTTGAGTGAATAATCAATCCCCGTCACGTGCAAACCTAACCTCTAATATTTGGTTCCCTTAAGGTCTCTAATTTTAGATTCTTCATGACATATGCTAACAATGCACACTATACATCTTAACAACAGACACTTTATTATTATTGTAGAATAAGTGGCTTTTATTTTATACTTTATTTTATGTTTCGAACTCTTCCTACTGCTTCTCATCAATCCATTTCACTTGGTCTTGACATAATACACTGTTTGTTTCTTTCGTCAGACTAGTCTATATGATCAGTTTCGTGACAGTTCCAAATAAATTAATAAAATTAATTATTAAAATCTTTCTGTTTGAAGTTGTTCAGCACTTGTTGCCTGTTGATGAAAGCAATTTTAGACAGAGAGTAAAAGAATAATTATTCAATTACACTTGTATTTTCAATTTTCATGTTAGAATACTTGTATATGAGTATGCAAAAGTAGCACGTGAACGTGGAAAATTAAGGGAGTTAAGGCATTATTAACCCCAGTTACCATGACAAACTAAACACGTCTCAGGCCACCCTTAGTTCCAAACAAGTATCCACTCCTGGAATTCACTGATGAACTATTTACATCTCTTAAAGAAACACTCAAAGTAAAACAAAACGTTCTATGCAGCCACTTCGACTACAACGCATATTTCTGACTGTAGACCCATTACACCAAAGCTTGAAAGTTTTAGCCTTGGATAGTTATAGTTTTCGGATAATTTAACAGCAACAACCAATTCAACGTTAATTCAACAAGTTTAATAAAGTTCGAGGCTGAATATGAAGCTCGATGTACGTGTCGTGAAAGTTCGAGCACGAGTACGCACGAAATCATTAGCTACGATATCACTGTTATTATGATACTTTGGTCCAGATATTTTACTCGTATTAATTTTTAATCGTAATTTCAAACTGAACAGAAATTCTATAAACCTTTTATAATGTGATTTAATTAAATTATACCTTACTTTTTGTAAAAATTATTGAAAAATTTTGCAATAAATGGTCCTAATTGTAATTCAATCTTTGAACAAATGTTCAGAAATTTTTATACAATTCGTTCCATATTTTTTCAGTGAAGTTTAGTCAAAGAGATAAGAGTCAGCATCTAGCAATTAATTTTTTATTTCCTTGTGCTCCCTACAGATAGTTCTCACAAATTTTTTTTATCTTTTTCATTATGTAATCGTTTTTTGCTGAAAAAATCATGTGTACGAGATAGAGATTAAGTAGATGTTCCAATACTTATGAACAAGAGTGTACACCCACCCAACTTCAAATACAGAACCGAAGCTAAAACTTCAATCATTGATCCGGTTTTACTGAAAGAGGCGGTAAGAAGTTAAAAGAAACTGAAGGAAAATGAAGAAAAGGATCATATTATACTCACGTTGGAGAGAAAAATAAGAACAGAGCAATGAAAAATCTGTAACAAGAAAAATCGACTATATGGATATAATATATAAAGCTGGATTCGATACTAACAGAAGTAACTACGTATTCTTAACCACATTTGTTAGTTTCAATACCACTAACAATGTCATTGGATATATTTTAAAATCGTCAGGAAAAAATTGAACAATATATATGGTACTTATAATATGTTTATTACAAACACACACATTTAGTGGGCCACAACAATATTTAAAAGCAACAATAGTATTAGTAGGAAGCATCATTTATTATAAAATAAGAAGTTTCAATATGATATAGATTTATCACACATCTTTTGTCGTTTATAACCTTAAAGCAACTTTTCAATGAACACACTAGCGCCACCATAGTCCATATCTATAATGAGTAGATATGCGATCTATTTTAGTTCAATTATTTTCTCATTTTACTTACATAATCTTAAACATTTATCTGTACTATACGCACAATATTGTTTCAAATTCTTCGATTCAAGATACATATTTCGCTTTAATGTTTAAACGCAAATGTTCGAATACTTTTATATACGTTTGTATATTTATTTTTATTATAAAATTATTTTTCACGATTGATGTTGCGTTCCAATTAATAGCAGCCATGAGTCTGAACGTCCATCGCTCTTACAATTTCAACATCAATCGAGGCCATCGCTTAATACGATAATTTACGAGCGTTTGAATATTCCTTGAACCGACTGTACTTTATCCTCATAATGTCCAAGCGTGTAAATACGTCTGCCAAGAAGCACACTTTGTTACCCCATTCTATTTACCTTCAGTAGCGTGCAAGTATCTCACTGGCATGCGCCATCCACATACGGGCGATCGTTCAACGTTCCGTGACAAATAACGATGACTTTTTCGCGGTGAACGCGTCACTATGTCGACGGGTTAGTTTGTTCGCGTCTGTCACGGAATTTCGCGCGAGTAATTCCGACTATTTCCTCCCACGATGTTCGGCTATCTATACAAAAATTTCCACGATGCTCGATAAAAAGCCTGTTCCAAAATCACTGCGTATTTATGCATGATTATTTAACATCATCCTAATTCTACGATAGAAGTTCTATTAGTCAAAGTCATCCTAAAACACACGCAAATCTTGATCACGAAACTCTTTGCGATACGGGATTTCGGATAATAAAATAGACCCATATTGCATAGAAATTTGATTTCGTTTTAAATGAAACAAAATTGTATATTTTTACTAATAAAGGAATCACATGATGTAAAAATATAAAACCAGGAAGACCCGGGACACTAGCTACACCATCACACCGAGGGTACCTGCACCAGCACGACATCAAAAACTAGCACACACCCCCAATGTTATTCACAACCAATCAGGAGACAGACGAAACTTATAAAACCACTGACAGAGCAGTCAGGAGATAGTTCTCCTAAAAATCCCAAAAAGACCATACAATCATCACGACCATACTATTGTCATAAGACTAGTTTGCAACGGCGAAAAATAAGAATAACTATGCCTCTATACGAGATACTATCCGTAGAGAATGCTGATTCATGTCGGAGTTTCGAGTCTTCCTTACTTATCTTTTCTTACCTATCGTGGGCTGTCGTCATAATACTATCATCCAAGACCTACCATCAACTCAGCGCAGGAAACACTATAGAACTGCCTGTAGTTCAACCATAACCAGGCCTGGCTCTATTAATTTAGAGTAGGCCGCATCCCAGCAACATTGCCGCATCTGCGTAAACGGGCCTTACAACCCCGCGATACTCCCCGAGCGAGTTGCAGTATTCGGGACATAACAAACATAATCCTTAGACAGATGTAGCTAAATCCACGCGTCCACGGTGCTCTGACGATCATGCGACGACGAAGAGCACGCAGGACGAATTACGATATTAGGAATAATTATTCAAGTATATTCACCGGGCCGACAGGTCTCGGGACAGAGGCGTCGGGAGAGGGTCGTAGAGGGCAGGCTGGTAGGTAGCCCGTAAAATATGATCTTGGCCGGCCTGGTCGGCGCCACGGTGGCTAATACGTTTGAGGGAGAAGTTAGTAACAGGTGGCGCGATCCATAACGGACCGTGCAGCTTCCATGTCGACCCTCTTACACCCTCTGTCTTCGCATCGCCGCGTCGCTGCCGGCCAACAGCCCTCCTTGCGTTTGCCCCTTAAACGGGCCACGCGCCTACGTGTACCGTGCCTGCGAGGAAACTTTAATTAAAAATAAAAACTTGTTTCTTTCGTTGCAGGGTCCCTGCCACCGAGCACCAGCCCCAGTCCGTACACCACGGAGATGCCGAAGAAAGGTAAGCTCGTAAACCTGCCTTAATCGCGGAGAAAATAATATTTTATCCCCCGGATGGAGCCGGCCTGGCTGCTTCCGTTTTCCTCCTCGATGCCTCTTCGAGAATCTTCTTCGCTTTAGAGACCCTTTGGATCTTCTTCTCCTGCCTTCCTCCCTCCCTTTTCTTTTTTTTGTAATTCTGAGAGAGATGATTTTATCTATTTTTGATCTTGGTCTTGGTCTTGGTCTCAATCTTGATTTTAATCTTCTCTTCTTGTTAGCAGAGTAGTTTCTTTTTTCCCCTTTTTTTTTAATATCGAGGCACAAGTTGGTGTATAATTTGTTACACTGGTACTGGATAGATATTTTATATTATTTTTAAACTGGGTTTTTTATGGTATTTGCTGATCCTCGTAGTTGATTCATTTGGACAGTTAATCTTCAGCTGGCGATGTGACGTCGATTATTAAATTATTGTATTTATACTAAAATTGAGAAATTATTTCCATTTTTATTACTAATGTACAATATATTCTTTGTTTGCAAATTATTTTAATGTAATAAAATCACGTTAATAATTAACCGTTTGCACTCTAGAGGCAACCTCAGTCACCATTTAATCAAATTCCAAAAATGAAATGTTAATCAATGTATCTAATTTGGTATGATGCAGCAATGTGTGGAATGTCGAAGTAAAATAATTCTACTTGTAAATTTCTATTACTGTTAAAATAACTTATTTATCGTTTTAAAAATATTGTAGGCTTTATAACAGAAAGTCTTTGAATTACTATTGTTTTGTAACGCAAAAATCGCCGAGTGCAATTTTGATAATTAATATTCTGTATATACTGTGATTGCAGAAAGATACGTCACCAGTTGAAGGTTAAACAGGAGATTTTTGTTTTGTAAATGGGGTTGTAAAGAGGAGGTTGAGGGTGAGTTGAGTAGATAGAGGGTAATTGAAGAGATCGGGGTTCGACCTGAAGGATAGTGTTTTAGGTTGGGTTTGGATGTGTAATCCTTGAACTCTTGAAACTCGAACGCGAAACTTTGTATCCGAAATTTTTCTATCTTGAAACTTTTCAAATTCGAAGAGTTTTGTTTTAAAAAGCGAAGTCTGAAGAAATTTTATATATTGTAAATCTCCAGAAAATAAAAATAAAGATACGATAATATAGAAAAATATTTAATCCAAATTTTTTCTCTTTTATTCAAGCATACTAATATATATATATTTATATATATATTTGAATTTAATTTTTCCTTTATTCGTCAATTTCTGTATTTTTATATTTCTATAGAAATTTATATAAAATAACTAACCTGCACTTATTTGTATATTACATGATTGGATCTGTACCATTATGTTTCATATTTCTATATTTATCTATGTATTTTATACTTTTTCCTTATCTCTTTCGAGAATTTCGATTTACAAAAAGGGTGTAAAGTTTCAATTTCTCGAAACTCCACTTTCTTGGGTATCGAGAGATTTCGAAGTTTCCAAGTTTCGAGAAACCCACCCCTAACGCTATTTCTTCGTGCAATGTACATTTGCGTTCAGCTTAGTATACGGATTACTGAATCGTTGGAATTGTACTGACTCGACTCGCATAAATACAGCAAAACGAACGCTTATGTTTCAAACTTTTGACAAATGAAATATACGCATTTGATTCAGACTTCGAAACTAATACTGTATCTAACGTGAGAGGAAATTTCTGAAAAATTTAATAATAAAAGCTCCGAATGTGAACGTTTCTTTTACTATAAACATAAAAATATCTAAGTTCATAATTAACATTCTTTTTAAGTGTTAATTATTTCTGTGTCAATTTCTGTTAACACCTAGTTGGATCATTTTTATTATTAATTTTAATATTAACATTGTTTTTAGATTTACGAATATATTTTTTTTTATTACCATAACCCAGGAGTTCAACCTTAAAATTATAGAACTAGTCATTACATCCATACCTCCATCTCATTTATTTACGTCCAAGCTATCGATTTAATCGTGTCTCACGTTTTTGAAATTTGGAAACAGTAAATAACAAAATTTTATAAAATTCATTCACGAAAACTTACATATAAGTCGTTTCATTTTTCACATACGCTACATACGTCAAAGGGTTAACTTTGCACTCGAGAGGCCATCCTTAATCGCCAATCAACAGAAATATAAAAATTAATAATTGATATTTAGTTTAAAGCAATGAACTATTAAAAAAAATACTAAAACACAAAAAATATAATACAAAATTCCTTGCTACGTTATCACAAAACTGTGATCAACCCCAAAACGAAAAATTTGCCGAGGAACCTTCGAGTGCAAAGGGTAAAAACCACCAAGGGTAATAAACCAACCATCACTGAAACGCCGAATGCTCCCAAAAAATACTTAAAACTTCCGAGAAATACATGAAAATCCGCCATTTTTAATTCACGGATTTACGTAGCGAGTTACGTAAGATTGAATTTTCTCTGGACCTTCGGAGTTTCTTAATTTTGAATTCGCCACGTTGGAAGTAGCTAAGAGTTCGAAATAAATAAGTAACTTTTCGCGTAACGGGAAATGTTGGAAGTGTGGTCGATTGATGCGTTTGCCTGCACTCTGCACACGAATCTCATAAGCGGCTTAACCTCTGTCAGTTTTCTTAAGGGAAGTAATTCACTTGCCGCGACCGCAAGTCGAATGCCTGGCGATTTATTATTTATGAAACGAACGTTGCAAATCTTTCGACCGCCGCGTATACGATGATTAAAATTGAACGAAGTTAGCGACTGAACGCTTCAGATATTTATTTCTCGCTGAATCCCCGGAGGAACTGCTATAAAATGCCATTTTCTGTACAGATTGGGAGCTGATGGCCGAAATGAATAACTCTGTTTACGGGAATCCAAGCTCGCTGACGATTCACAACGAGAAAAGCATGAAAGCAGGTAAAACCGTTTGCGGATTGTTAAAATGTATTTGTAGCACGAACGCGACTGGAATACAACCCCTACGTTTCACCCATTTGGACATTTAGCGTTGGGAGGAGTAACAAAATTTGATTGTTACTCAAATTTGTCGTTAGAACCTAGCATCTTTTATCTTTTTATTTTATTTGAAATTTGAAAATTATTGAAATTTTTTGAATTAGATTATATGCTTAATATAAAAATTCCATATTAAAATTTATACAGCGATATGGTGTAGGCAATGTATTTTTTATTTTTTAGGTTTTAATTCTTAATTTTCCTTTTTGTTTGAAATTAGAATAGACTTGGAATTTTTAAATGAAAAGTATACGTGTGTTTAACGAATTATGACGTGTCCGAAATTTAGAGTAGAATATAAATTTATATGTTCGATAAAAATTTACTTAATATGGAAATTCGATATTAAAATTTATACAGTCATATGAGTAGGAAATATACTTTTTATTTTCTAGGTTTTAATTCTTAATTTTCCTTTTTATTTGAAATTAGAATAAATTATACATATTAAATATTTATTTGAAATTTTTAGATCAAAAGAAAATTTACGTGTGTTTAACGAATTATGTCGTGTCTGAAATTTAAAGTAGAATATAAATTCATATGTTCGATGAAAATTTACTTAATATTGAAATTCGATACTAAAATTTATACAGCTATATGATGTAGGTAATACATTTTTTATTTTTCAGATTTTAATTCTTAATTTTCCTTTTTATTTGAAATTAGGATATAGTTGGAATTTTTAAATGAAAAGAAAGTATACGTGTGTCTGATTATGTCGTGTCCGAAATTTAAAGTAGAATATAAATTCACATGTTCCATGAAAATTTACTTAATACAGAAATTCGATATTAAAATTTATACAGTGATATAATGTAGGCAATATATATTTTTATTTTCAAGGTTTTAATTCATAATTTTTCTTTTTATTTGAAATTAGAATAGAGTTGGGATTTTTAAACATAAACGGGAGAAAATTTTCTTATTATCAAAATTCCTTGTATATTTTTACTTCTGATTTCTTTTAACAGTCCTTTTTAAGCTTTTAATTTAAAATTTCGCAGTCTATGTTATCAGTTTGGTCATTTATCTTCGCCATTTTTCTTTTAATATATTTATTATCAATTTTTGAGTAATATCCCTTAGTCCATTTATTTTTGAAGATTTTCCTTCTTTTATTTTTTCATTTACTAATTATTTAATCAGTCATATTAGATATAGTCTTACTATAATTCGATGTTTCTCATGATATTTAGTATTATTCCGTCTTTTCTAAAATTTTTATTTGAAATTAGAATATAATTCGTATCCTCGGACATTAAAGGTACATATGTTCGAGAAACGATACCGTATTCGAAATTTGTAGTTGATCTTACATTTGTCAAGAACTTGACAAACGGAACGTCGGATTAACAGATCAGACACATGGAAATTTCGTGCTACTCGAAGAAAAGTAAATGCAAATGACAAAAAAGTTCCTTCCCTTGAAGTCTACCCGGCGAAACGTATTCTCTTCAATCTTGATCTTTTTTCGAAGAACGCATCGATCACTTAGACATCTCCCGCGGGGAAAGTCGGAGAAAAGAGGAAACGGGTGCAGCGAGGCGGAAATGCAACAAAAATGTAATAACCTGATAAAGTTAGTCGACGAAACGAAGGGAGATTTAGATACCATGCTCGATAGATCGATCTCCGTATCATCTTTGTAAGCGTGTCTTAAACAACTTTGAATTTCCCGCCAATGATCGTAATCTTTTCAGGTACGAAGTACAGTAGCATTTATCTTGGGCCAAAACTTCGATCAGTCTTTTCGTACTATATATATTTGCTCATGAGAATCTTCCAAATAATTTAATATTATAGTAAACAATATATTTTTACTATCAAAAAAATAATCATTTACAAATTTTTGTATATTCTTTATCTTCCGAGGTGTGATGGTACTTAATCATGTGATATAATATATTACAATTAATATATTATAGTAAACAATATATCTTTACTACCAAAATATAATCATTCACAAATTTTTCTATAATTTTTATTTTCTGGGGTGCGATGGTACTTAATCATATGATATAATACATTGCAATTAACCCTTTGCGCTGGACAATTTTTTGGCTAAAAAAGGGTACGAGTTGAAAAATTTTCTGCTATAAGGCTGATGATATTTTTTGAGTAGTAAATAAGAAATTGTATAATAACTAACACGTGGAATTATTTAATTTCGATACCTCCCACACTGTTATATTATTTTATTGATATATTAATTAACATCGAGCTTCAAAATTTTATGAAATGGCGACTGAAATGTGTATATTTAAATTAAAAATAGAGCGAAAAAATTTCGAGCTAATCAGGAATTTTGTTAATTAATTCGGATTATCCAAACAGATCTTTTCTTGATTAATTCGGACGATTAACGTTTACCATAATCGAAATAGGCAAAATCAGGGATCAAACGCTTCTCTTCGTGACGAGTTCTAAATTTCCAATAATTAATCCTGCTAATTGACATGACCCTCACCGACAATCCTTGAAATCGATCGTGGCTTTGAACGTGGCTTTAAGGAATTAGGATGCTCTGAGATTCAGTGTGTTAAGCCAACTCGACAGAACGATAAATAATAACGAACGGAACAAGGCTATTTAAGCGTGTCAAAGAAGTCTGAATACTTAATTAACTCCTGTAATCAATGGCGTGACTTCCCCTAATTTCACTTTCTCGTTTCCCGTTTCCCGTTCGATTTAACGACATCCTTCTTTCGAACCAGTTCCTCAATCCACGAGACAATTAAGTATTTTGTAATTTTCCTTATTTTGTATAATGATAGCAGAGGTGTTCTGTTAGACAAAAATTATTAAAATAATCACTTATGCTTAATTTAATTTAGAAAGTATATTTAGCATTGCTTATCTAATGACCTTAGATATAAAAAACATAAATAATAATAATCTACCAAAATATTAGTAATGATTACAGTGCTGTGATGGAAATAGATAGGTATATACAGGGTGTCCCATTTGAAGTTTTCCATTCAATTATTTCCTAAACTGCAGTTCGTTTCAAAAAAGTTTCGAATGAAACTTGCATTGTTTGAAGGACATCCTATAATTGTCATAAATTTTTGCAAAGTGGACGTGCTTCCAAGATTTCGAGGAGACCTTGGATTTTTCTTTAATGTAACTTATTTTTTTATACTTTTTTTCTGCAAGTAGATAGTGCATTTCAGGATGAATTGATTGACTTATACTACTTAAAACATTTTCTGAAACGAACTGTAGTTCAGGAGATAATTGGATGCGAAACTTCAAATGGGACACCCCGTATAACTTTGTCTTCGTCTAAATGAAAGCGTAAAATAAACAATTTTGTCGAAAGTAGTTTTAGATTTTAAATAATAACAAAGACAAAAGCTCCCAAATTTGGATTAATTTCATAGTTAAGGAAGCTGGTACTTTTTAAAAACATTTATCCTCACACCATTCTCGGAACATCCCCTAAATCTTGACCGTTTCGACTATCACGGTACTTGAAATATAAATTCTCCATTTCGTTTGTCTCCACTGTTTAGAGTGCTCAAGCTCCTACTTTTTCGAAACACTCAACCTCTTCGAAGCTTCCATTCGTATCTCACCGTGATTCGATAGAAAATTCATTAAACGTCTGGCGAGCCGAGCATACCCAAAGTATCCGGACATAGATACAAATACGGGGACAAAGGTTATCCTGGAGAACGTAGCGCGTATTAAAGCCAAGAAATTCAATCCTTTCGAGCGTGGAGTTCCAAAAAACGGTCGTAAAATGAGGAAGAAGCGGATTACGACAGAGAGGGCCAGAGCGAAAGGGCTTAAAAGCCGTAAAAATCGTCGACAAAGAGTCGCGACGAAAAGAGACGAGGATTTGTTGGGGGGTGCAGCGAGCGAGGGATAGACAGAGGAAGACAGAGAAATAGCGACGGTACAAGCGGATGCTCGTATACGTGTAAAATCTAAAGAGACGAGGGACAAGGGATGACGCGGGACCAGGCGGGGTCGGGACAGAGCGGAGAGTGGGCTCTCTGTAACATCAATATTTCATGTATGCTAACACGCCAGAACTAATAATGCTCCAGCGAGGAAGACCCAAGAATAATATCAGCCACCGGCGTACTCGCTGTGTTCTCCCTCTCTTTTTCCCCTGGCACCCTCATCCTGGTCCTCCTCTGTGCCCGATCGTTGCCCCTTTCTTCCTTCAAGGATCACGGCCGACTCGCCGAACCTGGTCCTTTCTTCTCGCGCAACCCCTATCTGTCTGACGCGGAAACAGACAAAGAGACCGGGCAGGACGACGGAGAAGACGACAGGGAAGACATTTTGCGCCTTGTGCTAAATTTAATCTAACAAAGTGCGAGAGCCTTTTCGAAAATTCGTGTCTCGTTGGCGGGCTAGCATCCACGAGCGCCTAACGTCGCCCACGTGCCTCGGGGCTGCATCCAAGCTGCACAAACACACGGGGCCGAGTCGTCGACGGGCAGGGAGCAAGACAGGGGTAAGACAAAGAGCTGCAGGCTGGAAGGTACGCGACATCGGGCTCCGGGACAGGTTCATCCTTGTTTCACTCTTTCGAGTGCCACGGTGTCGGCTGGTCTCCAAGGAGCGAGCGAGACTCGCGGCACAGGGGTGAGGTTTGTAATTGGCGCAACATCTGCGGTCTGCGGGGTGGCATTAATGTTTGCTCCCCTCGACGCTTCTCCGGCTTGCTTCTCTTTGTTCCTGCGCCTCTCGTCCCAGCTTCTTTCTCTCCGCTCGCGTTCTTCTTCTTCGCTTAGTGGCCGTGGTCCTTTTAATTTCTCCCCTTCCTTTTTCTCTTCCTCGTTACTCCGGCTTCTTATTTTTTTTCCGCTTTTTCCTTTTTTCCCTCCCTTCGTATGGTTCTTCTTGTTTCCTTTTCGCTCGGTTTTGTTTTCATTCGTGCG